CCTTCTGCAGAACTGTTGGTGGGAGTGGGTCTGCAGGAACAGAGATGAGACAGTCATCACACAGAGCTGCTATTTAAACAAGAAATTAAGAAATTAATTGCTTAAGAATTTAGCTTAAGAATATATTGCTTAAGAAATTAAGCAATATAAGTTGAAAGAATTGGTGGCATTCACGGAGTATTTTGAGTAGATACACGTGGAAGCGTTACACGAGGGGTGTTTAGAGAATCCTTTACAAGTAAAAACACAAGAGAAAATGCTAGACTCAAAGTACGTGCCCAAAGAGGCCTGGTTCTGCTCTAATTCCCTAAGTGGCATTATGGCCTGGGGGTATTTGAGAGATTTGGTGAGCATGCTTAGAGTGACCATCACCAGACAGGCAGAGCCACAGGACACAGAACCAGAGCTGTCCAGCTCTAGGAGGGCCACATGTTCACCCAGGTGCCAGGTTCCACCGTGTGGTCCCTCCAGCGTTTTTGGCTCACACCCTGCGGCTCCACCTGGACCTGCTGCTCTGACAGAAGCAAAGACCATGTGAGGAACATCATTGGGCTGGCGGTCTTGAGGATGATTGTCCATCCGTCCCCAAAGGCAGGCAGGGCATCCAGATGCAGCAGCACATCATCCCTCTACCTCTGGCTCAACAGCAGGACTGTGGAAGTTGTCTTTGACTGTTGCCCATAGAGGATGGCCTTACAAGTGTAGCCGTCTCTGTGAGGTCTCTGCTATGCGTGATGAAGAGACCCTTCTCTGGAAGCATCACTTTCCAAGTCACCCAGCCTTTGAACATGGTCCCATCCATGGTTGGCTTGCACCAACTTGCTTGGCCAAACTCAGAGCAAGACCCCAGCATCTCCGGAGCCTGTTGGCCTCACCATAGCCAACGACCACATACCAATTGACGCCTCACCGTGACCAATCCATCGCACACTGATTTGGCAGTATTACTTGGCGCTAATGAAATGGAAACTCTTCAGTGTTGTTCAGATGTGGCATTTCTGAGATTGTATCTCCACCGCAGCAGCCACACAGCTGAGCAAATGGAAACGTAAACTGTGCAATACTCAGGCACAGATCTAGGCAAAGAAATTTCTCCTCCCTTCATTGGGGTTTTCCTAACAACATGGTGGTTTCCACTGAATAATGCATTTTGGAGGGGGGCAAGTGACGCTTTCTTCCTCTAGCACAAAGGAAAATAATGTGGACAAGATAAATCTAGTTATCACCTTTCCACACTTTCAGAAATGGTGCAATCCACAATGGGAAAACCTGAGGAACACCTTGCTGGCTAACAGGGGAAGCTGTTATCTTGAGAGCTGCAGGAGCAGCAAGGGAAATTTTGGGTTTTGTGGGAAAATCCTTGATGTGCCTTAGTGGAGGCTGCACTTTAGAGGCGCTTTCCCAATGCTCCCACACTGCAAGGCAATGACATCGCTGCTCATAAAACCTCGGGCGGCAAGGAAAGAGCCGGCAAAACCTGGCAAGAACCAGGGAGTTGGCAGCACACTTTGAAACTCTCTTTCCTGGCTAAAAATCCCCACTTCATCTCCCTCACCTCTCTCATCAGCCGCCATCAACTTCCCATTAGCACAGTCACTGGTCCAAAGGTAAAATATTTATGATTTTGCTTATATATCCAACAAAGAAGCCAAGACACATCAGCAAAAGTCCTCCTCTGGCTTTCTCATCGTGCCTTGCTCTCTCCTGCTTTTCCCGGAGCAGCCAGGCACCTTGGAGGCTCCCGTGTAGTGTTTACGGTGAGAGAGGGCTTAGACACAACAATCGACTATGGCAGTCAACATGAGCCTGGCCAAACAGCTACGCATATCACCCTGTACGGCACCACGGCTCGAGTTCCTCACAGGCTCCAAAGCAGGATTTGCAAAGGAAACAGAAGACCCTGGTGAGAACAATGCAATGCCCTGCAGAAAAGCTCGGAGAGGTGAGGGCTCCTGCTATTAAGGTTGGGTTTTAGAGATTTTTCAGATAGATTTTTAGCCTATTAACTCACATCTCAAAGCCCCATACTCTGTAGCCTGCCTTAGAGTACATCCAGCTAGACTCCAGTGTGGGAGGATGATGGGATGTGACCCCACAACAGCCAGCTCTGTGGAACAGCCCGTTCCCAACCTAGCGCCTCCGTGGAGGTCCAACATGGAGCTGCCTTATGTTTGCCCCTGGCCATGGGAGCAGAGAGGAGCCAGGGTGTGACCAAACCTCTGGTGTGCTTGGACTTCTCACCCAAGGCCCACGCAGCCACGATGGAATAATCCAGTTACTTGCACTGATCCCACAAAGGAACACACATAGTGCTTGGAAATAAGAGTTATATTAATAGACACTTGTCTTGTTCTTTTCTGATAAGACAGTGCATAATTAAGTTGATGGGTTTATTTGAGTCTGCAGGAAGAAGTCATCCATCCAAGCCAGGAAGAAAGCCATGGGGAAAGAGCTGCCCTTGATGCAGCTCTTGAGAGCAGCCTCTTTAGGGGGAAATGCTCCCACGTTGTGTATCATCCTGGGCATCTCGAATGCCCGACTTTGCTCTAGCTTGGTTAATGTTTTTGGGGTGCTGTCATAAAGGGTTGCAGGTATTTCTCTCAAATTGCTCCTAGAAACCTAAGGATGAGGAAAGGTTGGAGCCCTGCGGTGCTCTGCAGTGTTCGGTGACGTCAGGAAAATGGCAATCATACTGCTATGGATGTAGTGTCGTATTTCCGTGCTCCTGGCTTGCACCCAAGTCAGCTTTTCTATTTCAGTGGGTATTCGGTTAATTTAGTTTGCCATCTGTCTTCAAAGCTTTTCTCTGCTTTCATTACTCGACTATATTTGTAGTATCGGTAGTAGGATGAAGACAATCAAATCTATGTCTCGATTAGTCTAGAGCACTGAAGAAAATCTGGTATGTGCTGTCATTCCCTCCAAGCAAGCAGGGAAACCCAGATACGTTTGCTCTTTCGTTTTGATGGTATCTAGCAACCATCTAAGTGGAAAGTAACCAAGGAATGGAGAAAAAAAAAAGGCAGTTAAATATCTCTCAAATCACACAGGTTTCCCACCTTGTGCAGCGGTTGTTTGGCCTGCACTCAGGTCCACACAAAGTTCACCAGGAAATATTTGTTACTCAGGAACCAAAACTTCAGGGTTGTGTCATAGCAGGAGAAGCAGATTTAGACGTAGGAGTATAGAAATCTGTTGCAATTTCAGATTAACCTTTGCAGATATGCACTGAAAAATGTTCTGAGCTGCACCGATGCTGGCAAGGAGAAGGATATGACCCCCACAACAGCTAAACATCTGGAAAAGTGAGACCATCCATGCAACCACCAGCAAGAGTGTCTTGGAAAAGGCACCAAGCTGCTGGGCCAAGCGGAGTGTCTCATGTCCACCAAGAAACGTCTCCAGCAGATGATCGGTGCTGACATCTCTCGCAGCTAAGCGTGGTGCAACACATTGCAAGGACAGCACATCTGTCCAAGAGCATCTATTCTGATGATCAAAGTCAGGCTAAGGTCCCTGTGCACCCCGAAATAAAGCAGGCCAGGAACCGAGGGAGGTTGCACATCAGCCTCCCCTAAACTGAGGGACTTCAGGACAGATGGACTTGCAGGTGGAGCGAGCAGTGACCCCACAGAGTTAGCACTGAAATGGGAGGCCCAAGAGTTGCATTTGGGCCAGCATCCCAGGATGGGCACAGAGCTGCTCACACGGCGCATGTGCTCACATGGTGCATGTGCTCACATGGTGCACGCACTCACCACAGGCCAAATCCTGCACTCTGCCATAAACGAAGCTTGTGGAGCCCATAACATAACTTGAAGCAGTCCCTGGGGCCTCTGGGCACAAAATGCCGCAATACACACACAAAATACATCCTGGCTGGGGGCCTCCAAGCCCAGCTGGGCTCACATTCCCCCTGCACTTCCCTCTGGGTGGGATTTGGGGCTGCCAGTTTTGCTGCTGCTCCGCAGCGGCTGGTTCAGGCTGCAGCGGGAGCCACCAACTCAAGGGAGGGTGTTCTGGACATCTCCAAAGCCAAAACTTTGGCCAGAGATATTAAGTTCCCATTTTATCCTAGTATGGAAACCTCCCTTTCCATAATCAAAAATACCAAATTAAACATGAATGCAAATAACTATATGTTTTCCTTTCTTGGTGTTTTCCAGGGTGTTTATCTAATGATGCAAAGATGCTGTCTTTTAAAATCATTTCCTTTGTACTGCCTCCCTGTGAAAGTCTCTCTGCCTAGAGGAAAGCTTCTTGCTAAATAAAGGAGGAAACAGTGGACATTGAATGTTGCCTCTCCCTAGAAAAGACATTTTACACATTTTTCAAAGCACTCAATTTTGAATCCATGCAGGTCATTTAAAGCTGAGCCTTTAAACACTTTAAAGAAAACCAGCTATTTCAGACACACAATAATTTCCTAGTGCTGTCAGACAGGCTATAAATCATGTCTGGGAACCAACAAAGCAGCATTTTCACCCTTTGTTCAATACATTTACGCTCCAGACACACACATGTATCTAAGTGCACATCCCTATTTCACATATTAACTATGAATAAAGATAAAGCAAATCTTCCCCCAATGCAGTAAATCAGCAAGACCCTTTCAGGGACATTATGTAATGCACTGCCCCGGGCACGCGGTCGGGCTCGCTCGCACGGCCGCGCAGGCTGCAATAACATCCCCCTGGTCCGCTTCCCAACCACATGCACGCAGCAGAATAATAAATATCCATCTTAGAGACCGTCTTGGCTGCTCAGCGTGGCCTCCTGCCCATCTTCTCCCTTTGAATTAACCTTCTCCCTTTGGAATAACCTTGCGGTGCAGCTGGGGGAAGGCTGGACCAAGGACCCACACGCGGAGGCCACCCCGGAGAGGCCCCCTCTCCCGCTTCCCATGGCTGAGCAGAGCCCCAGCCTCCTCCCCCTGCATCCCGCTGAAAACCGAGGCAAAAGAGGCCGGAGCGAGGCCAGGGAGGCCGGAGGGGACTTACCCACGAGCAGGCAGCCGCCTCCTCACGCCATCCCGGGGGCCCTCCGGCTCCTTGCCCAGAGGGGCGCTGCTGGTCGGCAAGGCCATCCCTGCCCCCCGAGCATCTGCAGTGGAGAGCAGGGGGAGGGAGCAATGGGAAGGGGAGCAATTTTCTTCACTAATCCTCATGTTTATTCCATAGCTCCCGTTATCTTTGCATCTGGCATCCCATTATTTTTACATCCCGTTATTTTCTCATGGTGACCTGCACAGGAGAGAGCCTAAAAGTCCCCCTAGCTGCAATGGCAGAATATCTATGACCTCTTCATCTGTGACTTGGACAGAGATTAACACATCTAGATATGTTAAAATACAGCACAAGATCAACCACATTAGAGAGAAAGAAGCCTAACTGTGTGTCCTGGCAAACACACGGGGAGAAATTAAAGGTCAGATTTGTGTTATCAGTGATTCCACCTTTCCTGGCCAAGGTGGTCTTAGAAAATTAACCGGAGCTCCACAGTACAAAACAAGCCTTGCAGTGACAGCCTTTACAAGGGCTGCACCTGTGGCAAGCTACGTCCCTTTGCCAGTCTTAGGGACATCAGGATAAAACGGGAGAGCAGTGGCAAGGAGGAGACTATAACCCCTATCAGGATTTCTTTCCAGCCTTTTGAGTGACTGCAACATGACAGATCTGCAAAGCAAACAAAACTGTTCCATGGTGTGAAATGCAACTATTTGTGAACATGGAGCTAGATATACCAAGAAAATCTCCTGCCCATACGAGGAATTAGTGCTTATTCACCTATGGCTTTAGCTGTCCAGGGCATGTATTTCCCTTTGAAGAGGAAGGCCTTTGGTTTTCTTAAAGATGAGACTGGGGCTGACATAGAAGCAAAGAATTTCCATTGTAGGGTTTTTGTGGTTTCCTTTTACTTCACTGTGATTAGGACTTTCAAGTTTCCTGCATACAGAGGATCAGCATCTGATGTCACTTGCGTCATGTCACCACTGCCCACTTCTGAAAGATGCTAGGGAATAGCCACAAGTGACATCCACTTTCCTTCAAGCCTGCTGGACTTGTAAGACTCTTGGTCTCTGTGCAAATGCCATCAAGCGAGCTAGCAAGTGATCTGGTAGGAAACATGTCCAGAAGGGTCTCAAAATGATTCTCATGGTAGATGCCACTACAGATTAAAGGGATGGTGACTTCAGCTAATCCTGACACCAGAAACTTGTTCCTACAACCCTTCATTGCCTTGTCAAACTACAACTCCTCTGTTGCTACACAAGCCCATCAATCCTTTCCCTAGTTACTGAACTGAATTTTCTGCCCTGCTTGGTAGCTCTCTCTGCAGCAAGTTGTGCGTTTAAAGACTTATCATGCCTTGTTTCCTCAAGGCTACCCAAATCCTGCAATCCCTGTGCAAGCCCAGAAGGACTTCAAGAGCTCCAGTATCTTTCACCGAGCCTTGCTTCTAGAGATCCTGGAATCTTCATTAGCTGAAGTTGCAATATTGGACCTTATGCAGAGGACAAACTGAATTGTCCTAATGATGTAGGAACTCTCAGCCTCTTAAGAGATGAACTTTTCTAATATCATCTTCTAGAAGCTGAGGGACCAATGGGAAATGCTTGAAGTCCATCAATGGGGCTGTGGGAGCTGAAGAGGTTTACAGACTTGCAAGTACAGTTGCACACAGTTCTGAAAATGCCTTTTTTTCGTCTAGCAGAAAAGAGGCACAAAGATCACTAAAGAACCTGGATGCCCAAGCCAGGCTGTGGTTTGCCCTTCTCTGGGGAACCCTGGAGTCTGTCTGTGCTCTGCAAAGAGCTTCCCTGACCTTATCAGCTCCTGCAGCAGCTCCCCTAATCTCTATACAGATTTAAAAAAAAAAAAAAAAAAAGACTTGTGGTGGAAGACAGGAAGGCACTAACTTCCCGTCTCTCTGTGAAGTTCCTTCATGAACCTCTCTCAAAATCTTAACTTGTTTCAGATCTTTGTGAACTCTGTACTTCTCAGTGCTCCAGAGCCCAGGGCAAACCTGGCCAGCCCACGTCCCAGCTGGTCCAATTCCTGACCACGTGGCCCAGACCACAGCAGGGGCCACTTCAAGTGCTCTCATCCGGGAAAACAGTAGATTGTCTTCAAGGTTGCCATAACGACAGACACCTGCCAGAGGCTGAAGTTTTCCACAGTCAGAAACCACTCAGAATCTTGCTCAGAATTCAGGAATTTCATATTAGCAAGCCCCAAACTGCTACAACTGCAAATTGCACCTCCATCTATGAGAAGAGTTAAGCCAAAACTGCAAGCAAACAAAAAACATCTAAACTTCCAGGGCAGAGGACAACAGCAGAAGAGACTAGGCAAAGAATTTGAGCCTATATCCCCCCTACAATACATCAAGTTTCCCAAATCACCCCAATGCCCGTTCCTGCCCTTTGCTCCATGTTCCTTCACAACCTGGGCTGGGCACTAGGGAAGGGGCACAGTACCATGTCCCTGTGAGTAAACAAAGTGGTTTCTGCTTGTTCTCACAACATGTGCAAGAACATTACCGACTAGAGAACAAACAGTGGTTTCCTATTTAGCTGTAATTTCAACTTACTCTTCCATGTCCATTTAAACTCATTTGATCTAATCTGTTTGGATTAATGCTAACATAAAAACTCTTAAAAGTGTTCCATTCTACTATAAAGTCTTTTAAAAGACACACAATATATTCCAAGATGCAGTCTGATTTCTATTTCAGGTTTTTCAGCCCCTCCTCACTTCCAGCTAGCTGGTAAATAGTTACTATGGCAGCACTTAATTCAGAGTGACTCAGCACTCCCCCACATTTCATATCAGCTCTGTCTGTCTTTCTGATTTCTTATGATCATAACCTTGCCCCTTCTCTTCCATTTCATTGCAGAATTAGAACTACTTTAAAAATTATCCTTCCTTGTATGATTCGGCATTTATTTTGGGAACCAAAGCAAGAAACTGTTCAGTAAAGATCATACCTATTCAGGATGCTATTTCAGCATTCTTTTTGTGAGGATCGCCAAGACTATTGTCTCTCACTGTTTCAGTATAGAATCCTCTGTAGATTTAAATTACCCATTGACAAGTGAGCCTGTCTAATAGTGAACCACATCATTTCAGCTCCAAGAACTCCAGCCCTCCTTTTGGCTGTGAGAAGAAAAGCACCTCCCTCTTTGCTTATCATTCAGAGACCCTTGCTTTCTGCTCCTGGAGAGGAATTTGCATTGGATTGTAGGTCATGTTTAAACCTTGAGCTTTCTCTCCTTCATTCTCTGTTTTTAGAGGTGAACAGGTCAGCCATTCCTCATTACTACCAGCACTGCTGTTCAGGTGCAGAGAAGCCACATCTGACTGCATCTTAAAGGAATTTGTCAAGAACAGGAATTCATAACAGTCATCTAATTTGCCAATTCTAAACTCATGAAATGCTTTTGATTACTCATCAGTTTAGACAAATTGTTTCCTGCAAAGTTTGTGGCTTTCCTGTGGCTTTGTGTTTCATGACTGGACTGCCCCAGGTTAAGAGGGGTACAATTCCTTTTACCAGAGCTTTTTCAGCAGTTGACATGTTTGTTAAAGCTTTTTCAGACATCTAATACAGGTGGGTCTCAACTGGCCATCTTGGGAGCTCATCTCTATCACCGTCTTGATTCCTACTTTCTAAAATGTTAGCTGACAGTTTTATGAGAAATTACATGACAAATATCTGTGGAAAGGTTTGAGGCTTTGGTGATTCCATTCAATGAGAGTCAACAGTGTTTTTAGGTTTGCCTCAGTGCAAAATTGCGCTGGAGGAAGAATCTTTTTGTAGAGCTCCTCAGGTGCCTTCCAAGTTTCTATTGAGAAATTCTATGCATTTACAATCCTGACCTATACAGAAAGTTCTAAGTATTCCCATTGCACTAGCACCTTCTGTCTAATGATTTCAAAGCATGAGTAAGTGTGATTATTATCTGGAACAACACTATAATCTATAGATGCTGTAGGGAGAAGAAATAGGGGAAAGAGCCAAGTGATACCCAAGTCCTTCCAGGAGAGTAGTGCGAGCTCTGCCCTTGACTCCCTGCAGAAAGACACCATCCCCTGAGGCCGGCAAGGAATTTTCACACTGATTTTTGAGGCTGCCGATAGCAGAAGTCGGTGGAGCGGGGCAGAGCACCAGCCCCCGCAGCCGTGCGCGGCTCAGCACCACGGACAGCGCCCGCCTCCTTGACCAAAACCTGCCGTCTTTGCCCCATTAAATCACTGGGGTCTTGGCCAGCTCCTCGCAATGTTCAGTGCTACCTGCCAGTGCTCTAGATGAGACTGTTGGCTAATATGCTGTATGTTCTATATAGCATATGGGCTACTATACCAACCTAGAAGCTTCACTTGCTCCTTCTGAAGTGCATGTTCTCCATATTCTCTTCCATCGCCTTTTCCACCTGGGAAAGAGAAGACAATTAAGTGTTTGCTGTATTTCCCAACAGCACAAGAACATGGGTTGAGAGCTGTCAAGCAGGACAAGTTTTCAGGATGCAAAGATGATATATTTGCCAGAGAATCTGCACACAGATCTGTGCTGCTTGGCAGCTCGGCTCAGGAGCAGATGAAGGACAACTGTCATTATGGTAACACCACTCTGCATCCCACAGCCAAGAGAACAGTACAAATTGCTCCCGAAGGCTGTATGAACATGCTGTACAGTACCAATGCATAACGGTTTCTATCTATTTAGAGGGTTTAAACAAACATATATTTTGGAGAGATGAAAAGCTAAGATCAGCCCTTTGAAAACAAGGATAGATCTTCCATCAATCAAGAGAATTAGTTACCACCTCTGACCATAACATAAGTGCTTCAAGCATCATTGATATCAGCCTGCAGAACGTTCTGATTTGCTAGCAGCTCTTGGCTAAACTATATTTCTATTATTGTGTACCTTACCACGAATGTGCAGCTACTCTCAGAAAGCAGCAATGGCCAATTGCTCCCTAATGAATCTGGGGAGCAAGCACAA